CAAAAACACAATAGTTATATCATGGTTAGATAAAGAATGAGAAAAAAATTAAGTGATGATGCAAAACGTTTTTTCTTTGTGCGCATGGCGTATTGATGATATCAAATAACAAAAGTTATTGAACGATTTTTCATTTTAACCGTCACTTGATATATTCTGATCGTCATTCCTCTTAGTTTTATGAAAAAAAGCGCTGTGAATTACTCTATGACGACAGATAAGGTTCAGGTACGTTTTCTTTTGAATAGATGGCTTTCAATGTTGAAGAAATAAGGTTTTCAAAAAAATATGGTACTTTAATGAGTAAGAAATGTCACAGCAGAAAACACGATCGACAGCATTTCCATCGTAGATTCTAGAATTCTCACTGGACACCTTTCACATGTTTCTGAATGATGGCCGGTGTAAATCTATCCAGAAACTCATAATCAATCCAAACTGTAGTTGTTTTCTGGTTACGATCCATTCCTAATCAAAGGATCATGCAAAATCATGTAGCTGCAGAACATAGGCACCATCTACATAATGTCAAGATAAAAAACACTGGATTGTGAATAATAGCATGCCATAAAATAATCTTTTATCCCCGGAGGAAAATGCCATGCACCGTCACATTAACGGAAGATTGAGGAAGCCTCCAAGGTCAACAAAATACTTAAAATTCTACGTAATGTAACGCAAGCTAGGCTAAGCTTTTTGATGATAGAAATTGTTAAGCAAATTAAAATTATTAAAATTTCGTTTGGCTTAAATTTGATAATTTTATCAATTTTTTGTAAAACGATTAAAATTTGCATTTAACTTTTAAAAATTTGATTACTGCGAACGACTATTGAAAGTAAATTGTTTTATAAGATATTAATAAAAAGTTTGTTTTTGTACTAAGCATGCTGTAATTTGTAGAGGACGCCAGTTTTGATAACAGAAAGTTTTTTAGGTTTTAGATTTTTACCGCAATTTATGGAGGACGTTAGATTTTGATTGAATTAAGATTTTCGTTTGGACCTAGCTGCGAAGAATTTTAATAGTAATCAAAAATAGAATGTACTATCTGGCTTGTTTTTCTTTTGTTATTGATAAACTAACTCATAATGCACGAGCAACGATGATCGATTTGGGCTGAACTAAGAACGATTTTAGTTAAAGACAAAGCGAATTTTTAAGGAGATTGTATCATAATTTGTTGTGATAATCGACATTTGTTCCAAATGTGGTGTAGTCGGATCGAGCTGTGGTCGTCAAGAGAAGATGCTCATCAGCATCTACAGTTCTAAGCCGTCTTATTGTTTATTTGCGATTTATTTAACCCTCTACCCATGATAGGACCTAAAGGAACATAGTGCTGATTACAAGTAACTTTTGAAGAATGAAAAGTAATTGAAGCAAAGCACAAACACAAGGCATATAACACTATGAGCAAAGATAATATGAGTCATGAGTGATGGTTTTTGCCGAATCGAACCACTTTGGTATGTCAGCAGAATGCATAGTTCATCGACGAACGGGTAGCTTGAGACATGCATACCAGAACAGAGTTATACAAACATAGTGCTGAGGGAAGGATGTCTCGAATATGACGCCAATTCTCGAGAAACGAGCAAGTTGCTCACTCTTAAGCCGTCTTATTTAGAACATCATTTTTTGTAATTTTGATTTTTATGTATAAATGCTTTTGCACTCCAATCAGTTGTCTTCATTCAATATTTGATTCTGTTTCATTATCATAGTTATATGATCTGTTCAAAATCAAAAACAATTTATGGCGTTCATAGTAACAATTATGTCTCGCGAACACTATAAATTGCAGTCAATTAAGAATAAAAAAGCACTATCATATTTTAGCGCATTCGACAAATGACAGCTCATTAAATTGAAATAGTGAAACTCAATCTTTAGCGAACTCTATAAATTTCAGTACGTTTAAAAATATAACTGAAAGTTTAAGTCATATTAAAATTGTTTTCAGTAATTTTTTTGAAATTTGAAGACGGAAAATTTGAGACCTAAGATTATTTTCAATTTGAATAAGTTAAATTTAAAAAACAGCTGAAATTGAATTTAACAGATTTTGAAGTTCGAGTTTATGTTCGCAAATGAGAAGTCACGGATAGGAAATAAGATGAACAGTAGTAAAGTTTCGAATTTCATCACTTTATCAATTTTTATTGAGCATTCATCCTTATTTTCATAGCACCAATATTTTAGAGTCAATTAATACTAATTCATGAACAGCAATAAAAAAATTAGCACTGCACTGTAAGCCTTTTTGCATTCATCTATGTCTTTGTTTATCTCAATATTATTTGGAAGATTTTTTGACATTCGTCATACTGCTTCTGCGATTCGAATGTAATACAAGCATCCTGATATCTTGATTCAATGATGTAGTCATTGATATTAACGCCGATTATCAAGGCAATGGTAAATAACATATAGAATGAACGTTGGTATAGTCTATTAGGGAGCAATCAAGTTTCTTTTCCAGTCGTTTCTTTTTTTTTCTCTTCTTACATTATTATATATAAATGTTTATGTCATTGTATAGATAGCCGAATTAATTGTATTTGTATTACTCATATTATTTTGTTTACGTTTTATTTTGTTTTATTTCGTATTTATTACAAAATATTTCATCTCACTGATATTGAGAGAACACAAACAACAGTGCAAAGAAGAAAAATATTCTATTTTACCAGTTTTTGTTTTAGAGTGTAAATATGCTCAAACGCGTGTCTTTTTAAAACCGATTGTTGTCTGTTACCAATAAGTTTCATAAATGATTACCCACTCTATTACCAATAATGGATGATCATATAGCTCTGAACCGAGTTAACAATCTCACTCAAAATTCTCGCTCGAGTATCCAAGTTATCCATACATAAAATATCAGACACATACTCATTGCACGTAGCATTATTGTATATCATAATAACAGAGCTGGTGCTGTGTAATTGCAGAGTTGAAACATTCAGACGACGAAAACTTTGACTGAGATTGCCGTCCCAATTCCGAGTTGCTTCATCGTCGGATATCGGTAATAGAGTGAGTGAGCATTCATCAAGCTTATCAGCTACAGAAAACAATTGACTTTAAAAAAAGGCACGTTAAAGCATACTTTCACTCTAAAATATAAAAACAGTTGAGCAGGACATTTTTCTTTTCTTTGCATTGTTGTTTGTTTTCTCGCAATGTCATGAAAATGAGTTATTTTTATATAAGTATAGAATAAGACAAAATATCTTGTAAACACAATATAATTTGTGTATATAAATAAAATCAACTTTGTTACCTATACAATGACATACAAATGTATATTTAGAAAGATATGAGAAAGAAAAAAAAAGAAACAATCGAAAAAGCAATATATTTTTTTTGTCCTTCAAAGAGTATAGTTCGCATATGCTGTATTGAAGACGTTGATGTAAACTCGTTCATCAGTTGTATCGCTTTTAATAGCTGATTTGTTCAAGTTAATACTAAGTTAGACAAAACGATAAAGAAAAAGATGGAAGAAGATGTTTAGAGTGTAAAATTTTATGCGCACATAAAGGAGTGTTGTGTTCTAGCTTGATTTTTTTAATCACATGATTCTCAATGGTTTATATCTATATATGTTTGTATGTCTAATATAATGATAAAAATATTCTAATCAATTCGTTTTCCACTAATGATTCATGTTACAAATACAAAACTTGATGGCATCTGCAATAATCATTGAAAAAGTATTATTAAAGCACAAACAGTATAGGAGTAAATGTTGTTATATTGTTGTTTACAGTATGACTTTCGTCTTTTTACTTTATGTTTCCTTCTCATTATAATTATTGTAGATATTTTGAATACATCTAAAGATGAAATTCGAACGTCTGCATATTTTTTTTATATCCTTGTTGACAATGCTAGTATTTATAAATGGGAAGTTCAAGCTTCTGTTTGAACATCAATTCACTTATATAAGCTTCTGTTTTTAAAAAATTCGATCAATATCTATACGGCTATATGTGGCTCATATTTATCAAGATACTTGTTGTTTACTAATACCCTAATTATATTGATAAATATGCACGATGAAAATTTTCCTATGTTGATGTAACTGTTTGAACTATTTGCTACTGATTATTACTTATTTAGACTACACAAAATAGACGTCATATTTAAATATATATGGAAGAGAGACAACATTATTTTTTTTATTGCATTCGCAAGATTTATACTAGCGCTCATGAAACTTATACGAGATGTCCAAATTAATAACAATATGGAAGATAGATCTTAAGTAGGAGTAAAAAACTTTATGGTAAAAGAGAAGATACACACGAGACTAAACTAAAACTAAATGTGCATTTATTCATTAATAGTACATTTTTGATTAATTGCTAAAAAGATCATGACATTGTCTCAATAGAAAAAAACATCAATAATTTTCCAATTTATGAGAACAACATTCAAGACAGTTTATGACGGCGAATCTGCTCAGTAACTCATCAAATTCGAGGGTGTATGCCGAGAAGTCTTTTAAAACTATCGATTCATAATATAGATAAAGAAGTGAAATACCTGAGATAATAGTGAAACATACTAGCGTTAAGAGATGTTGCTCTATGTTCTTCATTTTCTATATTTTCTTCATTATTAGCTTTTCTCATTCTTTTTGATATTATTTCTTTGGTCTTCTTCTCTCTGTTGCTGTTGTTGCTGTTTTTGTTGTTATTATTATGAACTTTTTTATTCTGAACAATTTATCATCTTTTATCATTATCTAAATATCTTTGGCTGTGAATTAATATTATTTTATTCTCTTTCAAAATAAAATATCGCAATGATTACATTACTGAAGTGTATTTCAATATCACGAAGATCAGTTACGATAGGTCGTCTTTTCCATGAACTCTC